AACATTCAATATAAGATAATAGGAAATATAACGTCTATGCAAAATAAGAAAGTGAACGAATACGTGAACTATACTGTTCTGGCATATGCTTGGTTGTTTGAGGTCAACTCTTAACCAACCAACCTAAGCTGTTACATTAGCTCCCCCTAGAATTGACTTCTGTAGGAACGTCGGTTTGATTAACTTAGCTATCAGAAACACCTTAGTTCTGTTTTCTCGGACAAAGGGAAAATTATCAACTCGCTCACTGTTTGACTTCCAATCAGTGACGACTAATTCCGTCAGCAATCAACGATAGTCCATGGATGTCTCTTCATTTGCTAGCTTGTCATTTTATTTGGTAGTATGTGGTTTCTTCTACAACTATTGCTGACGGTTTGCTACGTGCTCTCAAGAGAAAGAGTGTGAGAATGTGGAACAAGAATATCTGAGGACGTGCTGCGAGCGGGCTACCCAACACCATGTTGATGAGGTACGATTTTTCCATGCTCAGACCGGCTGTCAGGTGTTTACTCACCTACCTCATGGGTCACCCTCAAGTAAAAAGTAAAGAAGAATCTACTTCAAAGGTAATGGTGAAAACCAATCAAACCTGAAAAAAATGCTCCGCTGCTTGTAATTAAAACAACAACTTGTGTTACACTTAAATTAAATTCTCAGACCCGTTTTATCTTCACTATGCATATATGACTCATACATATTGATATTTTATTATCCTTTTCACTTAATTGAGACCTTCATAGCATCACTCCAAACTATGTGACTGCACAAACATTTATATTCTAGCGTCATATCTTACTTCAATTATAAGTTATTTTTTCTTAATTATTTTTTCTTACTAATTTGACGACACACACATAGTTGTTTGTTCTTGTTTTATGTTCATAAACACGCCTATTAAACTGTTTGTGTACTTCACGTCTCCTTTATTTCTATTCCCTTATTTTCTGCATTTCCTTCTTTAGACTCAATTCAGACCCGATTTATTATTATTAATATTCTACTATTATTGCTCAAAAATTTATTTTTTTTAAATGGCCAGTAGAATGCTGACATTATTGAAAATTGTGTATTATTGCATTTTTTTGAGGAAACCCGAAATGGTTTCTTCACAACACTTATGTACCCATAAGATGTTTGTGAATAATAATAATAAGATACAAAATGGAAATACATAAATATAATTGATAATTTTTCGGTTCCACGTAAGTGATTGGCCTCCAAAACGGATTGGTATTCTGGAAGGAAATAGACATAGTGTAGCCATCTTGTGCACGATAAAGTATGAAAACAAAAAAAATGCTTTTTTATAATGCATATATGTAAAAGTGTAAACTTGCTAGAAGTTGGACTCATTGTCAAACCCGATCAAATGTATGACCTTGGGCCCATGACGACCGCCTTTTATAACCAGGTACGTAACAAATGGTGCATAAGAGTACTCCACAAAACGGAAAAGAATATACGGTTAAGGAGGAAATATAACGCCTATGCAAAATGAGAAAGTGAACGAATACGTGAACTATACTGTTTTGGCATATGCTTGGTTGTTTGAGGTCAACTCTTAACCAACCGACCTAAGCTGTTACAAGTTATTGAATAGCTCAAAACCGAACTGACCTATGTCAGAAGTTATTGCAGTGGGCGCACCAAAAATGGTTACTCAGTGCTGAACGAAAGCTTTGTTCACTGTTTCAGCTGTGATTTCGATTTTTGACGTACCTATCGAAACCTCGTGAACTTATAACTGAAATTAACTATATAGTTAAAACCACTAGAACGCAGTAAAGGACCTACCAAATCGATGCGGGTGTGGGCAAAACGCTAATTTAGTTGTGAGAAAACAACAAAACGTGAACTCATGTGACGGTTAACCTTTGATTATTGATACTCCGAACACTCTCAAACCCACTTGTGTACTTCTTTTCGTAAATTTTGTCATACAAATTCACCATTAACTAGTTTAGTGAGAGCTTTCGCGCTAGGATGAGATAAATTATGGATATCATCAGACACTAATTTCCACAAACTTTTGCGGACGAAAAGTTGAGACATCACCTTGTTCGTGCCACAGCATATGAAACTGACCTAAATATGTGATGATAACTGTTTTATTTCAAGGCTGGAGTTCCTCGCTGCAAGTAGGTTTTGCATTTTCTCTTCTCTTCCTGGTTGTCCAATTAAGCTTCAAAATTTATAGTCGATTGTTAAATTATACTCATTTCCGAACGAAATGATGCATCTGCTGCCTGATTGTTTTGACCTTTGACAAGTTGTTTACCATTGAACTGTGATATAAAGCCAAGATGTCGGATCTCTCGAGGAGAATATTTATTTGCTTTAGCTTTTACCGCATTGGTTGGTGGTTTTTACTCCGCATGATCTGTTCTGTGATCTAGATCTCGGTTGTTGCGTTAACCTACTTCTGTTTCTGCCATGCTGGTCTTTCGTTGATTCTTCTTTTTATGTGTGATGCATCGTACGTGCTCGAGCTGAAGGGCTACTCTTTTCTGGTCTATCTGCAATACGTATTACGTGAGGCGAAGATATTTCTGGGTCATGAGTGTCTAGACATTGTTGGACGTAGCATGAGAGAGCTTGTATCCATCTTTGTTTGAGGACTGTTTCACCCACGGCGTTGTCATTAAGTATGACTCGAAGATGACGCAAGAAGTGTGATTATGACTCATCACCTAATGCTTTCGTATAGAAAAGTCTTCGAATTACTTAGCCGTCTGATAATTGTATACAGTTCACTATTTCAAGCCTTAAACGGTGTATGGTTGTGACGTCGGAAGACTCAGAACTAAGCAGCAAAATTCGTGGGCATTTAAAGGAGGGAGGAAGGAACGTACGTCTCGGTAGCGAATCCCTTCAGATTTATTAGTGTACCCCATGAAATGATGTTGTAGTTGATCACATGGTAACTCTGGGTCACGTCTGTCAAATTCCGGGAATAAGGCTTTCATAGTCACAACAGTATTTATCTCCGTCGGTGACTGAGTTTAAAATGCGGTATTTAACACATAAATTAATATGATGTAACCGGGGTAAAAATTGATCTCAACACGAACACTGTGTGATATATATATATATATATATATATATATATAAATGAAACTTACGTTAACGATAATCTTACTGATCCGTCAGAAAACTTGCTTTTACGACAAAACCAAAAAATAGGTAGAATAGAAATGTTTTTGTGATCAAAACTGGGTTTACCAATCTAATGCTGGTAGATACCCCTCGTCTTTATACGTTGAAAAAGCCAGATGCTTGTGGTGAGGTTCCACTTTCAAGCACACGAAAATTTTAACACCCAATATAGGATTATAGGAAATATAATGCCCATACAATAACGAAGTATGTAAACATTTGAGCTATAATGTTTTTGCATCGCAAATATGTTTTCGGCTAACTCTTAACTATCCGATTTCAGCTGTTGCAAGATCCCCCAACATAATCCGATCACAGATTTAAATATGATGCATAAAGTACTGGGAAGTTGTTTCGTGACCGATTGGTCATTTTTATAACTAAATCGTCACAACCAAGGAATAACAGACGAGTTTAGAAGTCGAAAGCCAATTTTTAATGAGTAGGGTTTTCCAGGATGAACAGTCAATTCTTGAGACCCAATTATTTATTTATTTGTTTGTTTAAACACATAGACATTGATACGAGGATGCACCAAATAGATAGGCGCCACATAAACCATTCGATTTGTGTGAGGGCTGGGATACTGCCCGGAGGCCCAAACCGAGGCGGGTGGTTTTAATACGAGGCCACACCCCGAGCCTTTGACCTAAAGGTCTAATTCACAAGGCAGTAGAGCAACTTCAGGAGATGCAGTTCCATGATAGCCGGTAACCAACACTAGGTTCGTACGTCATTTACTTTCTTAGGGTCCTGGAGCCTATGTACACCACTGGTTTAGAATCAGGGTTTTCCAACCCGCTTAGATGAATTCTCCGAGTCCACCAACCCTGGTAGAGTGCCGGACATTCACATTTCGTCCTCCCACTTTCGTAAACAACACCCTCGCCACGAAGAAGGCAGTGGGTAGGCCTTCCCTGGAAGTGGTTTTATGCACATGGCCATGTGAGAGCATGTCGAGTGGGAGAGCTGACTCTGCCTACTCTCGTCTATACCAGGGCTTTTCGGGACCCGATTCAAACGGACTTGTGCCTAACACATCGATCCGAATGTTGAAGAACTGGAGGGATAAAAAATCTGACTAGAAAAAAACGAATAAGGCACTTTAGGATTTTGTTGGCGTAGCAATCTTTGAATCTAAGAATGCTATAAGTAGTAAAGTAGGGGCATACGTACAAAAAATTGCGTACGAAATCATAGTGATAATACACTAATCATGGATACACAAGGCAAAAAATACCCACAAAACATATATATATACTATTTCGATACAATATTATTCTTATTGAACGAGTTTTTTCATCGCCGTATACACAGCCTTAGTGAGAACTATGCTTGAGATCTGTGTTCAGGCTCCAAGCCTCTGTTTAAAAGGTGACTCGAATATCATTGATGAAGTAAAAATGGCATCTACCCGTGCGATTCCAGAACTCATGGGTTTACCATACCAAGAGCGGATTGAAAAGCTAGACCTCTTTACTCTGTCCTACCGCAGATTATGAGGTGATCTGATTTTGATTTATAGAATAGTAAGAAATGATTTTGGACATAATATATCCCCCTTTTTCTTTTCACCAGGTCGAGACATTCCATGGTACATAGCAAGCGAGTAGGAAAGCCAAGAACGAACAAAATACCCGTGGCATAAAGGTTCTCACACCGAATCATTAATTATTGGAACATGATGCCCAAAGCAGTGGTGTCCGCACCTTCAGTCGACTCATTCGAGAGAACACTGGACGCTCACAGAAGCACTCTAGTAAAGAAATAACATAGGCCATAAGCCTTCTGCCCTTACTACATAAATCTGAAATCTGGATCTTTGTTTTTCCGGGTAGAGTGAAGCTGGTCCTTGAAAGTGATTTTAAAATCCTATCGTTTGTACTCCTGTTTTCGCTGGTAATGTACTTGGTCCTACAGAGTTGTCAGACTCGAGCAAGATTTGGTGTTTATAGGCAGTTTTTTCAGATTGGTTTCAGTTGCTCCAGAACAGTCTTTAGAAAATTGTCCACATCCTTATGTTTCCATAGGGAATTCTACTGGAACGATCGGTACGATAATAATGAGGAGGTAAATTAACAAAGTCAATCACTTTTTATTTCGATTACCAGAGGGTTTACTGTTAGATTAATGGTACTGCTGGAAGCAGTTTTTTATTTCGGTTTGTTTTAACATAATATCCCAATCTTTCTATTTTGGGGAAAAATCTTGTCCGTTTCAGAGAATCCACAATAAAAACTTTTGGGGAAATGGCACAAAACCCAAAAATTCCCCCAGGTCTGAGAAAAGTCCTCGAAATGTCTGAGGATGAGGTTTCCCCCAATATTTCCCCAGAATCTTATAACACTGGAGTTTATCCCCAAAATCTTCCCAAACTTTGAGGAAAACAACCTAACTTCCTACGATTTGGGGGGAAACATCAAATTAGGGGGATTGGGAATTAACACATGTTTGTGTCGTTCTTTTGGCACTTTATGAAGTGTGGGAGAATGTAAAATTGTTCCAGAATTTAGTTTTAAGCTATGCTGACAATTGAAGTGTAGTTCATAACCGAAATAAGTGATTAAAGATGTCATGGATATTGAGGTATTGGCAGCGCTTTTATCTACAACACTTACAAACGAAGGATCCCAGACCCAGTCAAACAAGAAGTCAAGATTGAATGAGTTTGAAGATATGTTTGGCAGGTAGTCGTTGTGTCAAGATTTATGTGGCCCAAGCTGGCTAGTTATTGCGAAGGATGCGCGACACAGTGTACCCAATAATCTGGTGTGGATGCGTGACCGAGAGCTAGAATGTGTCCCGTAAAACTAATTGGTTCAACATTAATGTCGAAGAATCTCAGAGCTACTTGATTTTTGACGTAATGTGTTTTCGCTAATGAACTTTCAATGTCATGGCAAGAATCTCAGTTGTGTGATAGTTGAAAGAAGTCCGAAATATTTCTTTAATAACGTATAAAGACTCGAACTCTTCAGTTAGAAATGCCTGTACCGAGGCCTTGGGTAATGTAAGATAGTGTCACTTGGTTGTCCAATTTTATTTATATTGAAGTGTTTGTGAAGGAACTAGTTTAAACGCATGAGAATTTCTGAACGATGAATATGGAATAGGAGAGTACATATTTTCCGCGAACATATGCAATTGACACTCAATATATAGATTAGGAAACTCAGCTATGTATACGTATTGTTACCGACACTCATAATAAAGTATGTGCACCAATACTGAAGTTATTAAAGTTTCAAAAACATTTGAGTGACTAGCAATTCAACTATCTCAGTAGCATCAAAACCATCGAGCATCATTTACTCATGTTTTATTGTTTTCATATGTTTCCACCTTAAAATGTGATTATCGAATTGCATTATACGGAATTAAAGTTTGTAAACAAGTATCCAAAACACAGTGAATACGGTTTTTAATCACTCAGACTACTCTATATTTGGTCCTATATCCCTCTATGTCTTCATCTATTTAACAAGCATAAGCCTCACTAGGTAAATTTAGTGTTCCATCACTTCATAATATTTATTCGTCTCGATAAAATTTACAGTACATTAAACTGGGATAAGTTTCATCCGTGATCTAATCACATTTGTGTTCAGGATATTTGAAACATTTTGCTTCAGAAAGGATAATAAAGCTTCGTAGTTGAATGCTTACTAAGCGACAAAGCATTTATGTGCTTGGCTGTTATATAAAAATTAGCTTTGTCGGTATATTTTCCATCATAATACTGAGACGTTCAATGCTGGATAGCATAAATTTAGTTGAAAGAAGACTAGAAGTGACCATAGAGAGACATAGCATCGGTCTATAAATCTATTGCCTCTAATTCATCCTTGTGAGAAGGTGCAGACTACATGGTTGTCCTAGGTGCATAAACTTTTCCCCCTTGATTTAGGGTTTCAATGTTGTTTCGTTATTCTGCGAATCTAGTTCTTTTCAAACCATATCTTCTATGCTTATTTTTTCATACTAATACATAGTATTATTGCTTCGACTCCTTTTGTTATAATTTCTCTTATTACGACACAGCTACTGTTGCTTAGTGTTCTTGGACACTACTTCACTCGACAATTCCTATAGCACATGGTTGGACAGGAACAAAATTATGTTCTAAATAACAAGAGTAGATGGAAGTACGAATCGCAATAAGAAAAACGTTAGTATATTTATAATTTTTACACGAGATTCTAGAGTTTTTTCCAAGTATCCACTAGTGGAACATGCTTCAATGCAATTTATATCCCATTAACGCCTTTACTGTGCATAGTGTACTGAGGCGGTTTGGCGTGATGAATGTTTGCGTCAGAACCTACGTTTTTTATGTTTGTTTCATGAGCCGAAGACGTACTTTCAAATCCGTAGTCTTCATTTACGTTTCACTTAAGTTTCTATATTCCGGGTTACCTTTTGAAAGATTGGAGACAGTACATTACTACATAGCATTGTAATTAGCAAGCAAGGTCAGAACTTTAGAAACTCTATCGTAAGCCGTCGCTTAAGTTTGATGCAAAAACTCCTCTAACTTGTTAAACTATGGAACAGTTCTGATTGTCTGACGATAGAGATTTGTGGTTCAGGGTTAGAATGATAATTGTTTAGTAATCACTGATTTATTGTGAATGTCTCGTCGGCAACAAGGCCATTTTATCCGTTTCATTATTTAGGATTTTGACAATTTAGTACAAATACATGCTGGGCAAACTACCACTTTTTCTACTTAAACTTATTCTGATGTTAATTAAATTTTCTGAAGAAATCAACCCATTTTTAGTCCTGATGAAACTTTTATAACACAGGACATGACTCCTAGTTATCCTTAGTGAAGCGATCTTTGGTTTATCACCTGAACAACAAACTCTCTTTTGGGTTAAACGTAAGGACTAATTTGAAAATTTATGCCTAATTATAACTAGTCATCATACACACAATCAACAGTCTTAAATTATGTTAATCTTCACTTTAGGGATGCCTATTGCTGAATATTACTTCCCACTACTTGTTGATAGGCATTTTTCCTTTCACTAATCAGTTCTCACATCTTATTTTGATGGGGAACAACATGCTGTTTGCTATTATCGAGTGTCATGTTTTACTTAGATGAGCACGGGTCAGTAATGTAGGTGAAATCTCAAGCTTTTCGAGCGAACTGGATAGTACTAGAAACTCAGCAGATTATAATATTTTATCACTTACTGTTTATGATGAAATACAGTTACACTTCAGTATTTCAGTCGGAATTCCTTGCTAGTGGTTGCATGGTCATCCGGAGTAATTTAAATTAGCCTTCAGTTGATATTTTAAGTTGAGCTTGATTTCACAGCGGTAAATTAGTAGTTAAAGCATTCAACTCACTCAATAGTTTGTAGTATATACCTTTACTCTACATGCTTGATTATGGCAACTGAGTATTACCACTAGCGATCACACAGAAAGTGCACATAAGGATGAGCCTAAAAACCTGCATTTGGTTGCCGATTTATTTTTTCATTCCTAGTTTCACTCCACTCATGAGGACAATACGCTATAGATATATAAAAGCGTGTCGGGCATTCAATCCATTTCCGGAGCTGGGATTAATATTTAACCACAAGTAAAACCGATTTGTTTATCTCAGTTACGGACCATTGTTGCGTTGCGTCAATCATATGACTTCAGATACTGTATGTTTTCTTATAAATGGGCCAATTTCTCCAAAGTCTAGTTATCTCTTTCAAAATAAGTCCAAAGACCCGGAAACTAATTATCATTTTAAACTGTTTCTAATGAGTAAAATCTCTTATAACCATAATGCGGATCCTTCGTCATAATTATGTTTTTGAGTTTACAACAAGTGTTTTCATCAGTTAGATTGAAATATGGTCATAGGACAATATTCGACCAAAAATTGGTGAATTTCCAATTGATCCTATCTTAACTAATAGATTAAAGCAATGTTGTCAGGTTATCGTAAAAATCTGAACGCTAAGGAGCAAAAGCATCTGCAATAGATGTCGAATAAACATTCGCTTAGTGATCATAAAGAGTGATAGGAAGAAAAAGCGACGAAAGTTCGTAAAGTGCTTGTTAGTCGATATGATTATTAATTTACCAGTGTTTTTCTGTTACTGGGTGTTAAAAATAGAATTGTTTACCTAGTTCTTGTTTACTTTTCTTAGAAGTTCGACAAAGTACTCATAGCAAATCGAGGTGAAATCGCCTGCCGTATAATCCAGTCATGTAAACGACTAGGGATTCGCACTGTCGCTATTCACAGCGAAGTGGATTATATATCTCGTTTTGTGTCCATGGCGGACGAAGCAGTATGTGTTGGTCCACCTCCAAGTGCCCAATCTTATCTAAATATGCCTGCTATTTTAAACGCTGTAAAGTCGACGGGTGCCCAAGCAGTACACCCTGGTTATGGCTTTTTGTCAGAAAACACTCTTTTTGCCGCGGAGTTAGAGAAAATGAATGTTGTCTTTCTTGGTCCTAATTCTAGAGCTATAAAAGCTATGGGAGATAAAATTGAGAGCAAACGAATTGCTAATCAAGCTAAAGTTAATTGTATCCCAGGTTATGATGGAGAAGTGGATGGTCCAGATGAAGCTGCTAGGATTGCTGCTGAAATCGGTAAAACTATTTTGTATAATTTTCTCGACATAAAAATATATCAAAAAGTTGTATCCATTTTAACTGTTATTTATTACGATTTCTTAACATTAATTTTGAAATATTTCTTTACAAATTAAATATAATATAAAATTTTTTACCCAGTTAAATAAAAGAATAAAATCTACAGGATTTTGTACTTCGGTTATAACGTGAATTGATCTAGAACTAGATAATATAGTTGTATTTTCCTAATTCAACACAACTGATTACAACTCATGGTATAATGTTAATATGCAATAGTTTTTGTATTTGTACTTTGATTCTCTTTACCTTTATAGGTTATCCTGTTATGATTAAAGCATCTGCAGGTGGTGGAGGTAAAGGTATGCGTATAGCATGGAATGAAAAAGAGGCTCGCGAAGGTTATCGACTTTCTAAATCAGAAGCAAAAGCCAGTTTTGGAGATGATCGCATGTTGATTGAAAAATTTATAGACAATCCAAGACATATTGAAATACAGGTAGTTCTTATTGGTTACAGTATTATTGTTTGTTTTGTTTCTTTGAATGATCGTAATTATAGTTAATTCATATTTTAAATGTACAAATGTTGAAATTGTCGCTGAGGATGAAGACAACAAAGCCTCAATGTGGCGCTCCTGAGTAGAGTGAGCAACCTTGCTAGCTAATTTGGGTAGTCGGCGGTATCGGACTAGTCTACTACTATGCTGTAAACCGGATTAAATGAGTTCCATTTTCGGAGCTCTTTAAAATCTTGCGGACTGCCCTATGTGTATGTTTATGTATGTGAGTTGCGTGAGTCTCGACTTTTGTGGTTTATGTATGTAGGTATATGCAAAAGATACGCAGGTGGGTTTGCGCAAGAAAAGTAGGCTGAAAATAATTTCTGCTATATGTCTAATAAGGTCAGCGGTCTAGTCCTTCAGGTCCAAAACATAACAATAGAATATAGTTGCAAATGCTAGGGAGAGGTGACTACCAATCCCTCCTGAAAGAGTGCTTATGCTTATGTGTATGTCATGAAGTCCAAGGGTGAAAGTCTTTGTAAGTGATATACATGTAATGCGTAAGTGACATTCAGCTGTAGCAAACACGTTCGAAGGAAGCGGTTACCATCTACCTTCCTAAGTAAGTGGATATACCTGTGTGTATCCTATGAAATGCATGAGTGAAAACTCTTGTGTTACCAGTGTACATGTAACATATATTTTCTCACAGGCTAAGTATACCAATGTGTATGCTAAGGGATGAATGGGTGAAAACTTATGTCATCGGTATGCATGTAAATTATACTTGCACGTGATGCGATGCTCGCTCGTCAAGACCTAAGGGTAACGAATTATCCACGCAACCACATCCACTCGGTGGATTTTTGAGGCTTGTAAGACGAATATAATTTCCAGGAAAGTCAATCGGCTTCAGTGGATAAGACTTCACCAACCTTAACACGACTGGGACACCGTACCGCACTGAGGATGAAAATGATAAGTATAAACAATTAATCTTATCATTTATGGTTTTTTAAGCATATCTGTTATTGTGGATTTTTTAAGTAATCTCTTTATGCTTTTCATTTGTAATTAATTTTTGCGTGTTAGTTAGATAAACTCTGATTATGTCCATGGCATCACCTGTACGAGCCTCAGACGTCATAATAAAAATATTTTATTTATTTAATTAGTTAGAGTACGCTTCATGTAAGGCATAATTCCCTCAAGAATATATCTCAATTGATGAACTGTGCAAAAATAGTATAAATTTCATTTCTTCTGTTTTACACCCCCTCTTTTTCCTTTGAGTTATCGTTCTATGGAAGGAGATTTAATGTTAATCGTTATCGCCAACGTTTCATCCCACACCGTTATTATTTACATTTGTTTATCTGGTCTGTAATTTAGCAGCCACCAAAGTCTATCCGTTTTATTTCACCTAAAATAATTTATAATCTCCCTGTTCCTAAGCAGGGAATTAGATAGATCTTAGGGATGTAAACTTGTTCATCGTTATTGTGTAATATCGAACTTGCCATGTACATCTATGACCGTAGTAACTCTCATAGCCTGGTTGTCAGCATTTGTATGAAGCAAGTGGTAACCGTTGAATGGTTCATCTCCAGCTTCCAATGAGTTGGAGTTACTCTTCTTATTTCACGTCACCTTTCTTACGAACCTGTCTTCACTATGAGTAGTAGCAAGAGTAATATTCTTTATTCGGCTACTTACTGTTCTGAAGACAAACAAATAGAAATCAACATATTTTTTTGCAAATTATGGACCAATTAGAGTTACTACGCTTAGCAGAAATAAAAAAATTAGTGCGTAGGAAAATGGGTAGTAAGATTTTCAATATATGTGTGATAATTGAATGGCCAAAAGGCTTATGACCAATGTTAAGCTGTCTTATTGTGCTTCCAACAGCTGATCTTTATCATCTTGAGGACCTTACCGTGAAAACTTTTATACCACTACAAAATACAGAACAACAATATAGACTAATACTTTGTTTTGTTTTCCTAACTCAATTCAAGGTCCTGCCTTGTAATATATGAGATACGCCCTGCATAATACACATAGTTCAGTCGATGGGGGCTTTTTATTTCACTAGCTTATTATCTTTTCCGGAAACTTTGCCTATAATCTCAACACCTCGCTCAGTGGTTTGTTTGCGCGAGCAATGCTTTGGAGATACCTTGCTTTCTCTAATAATACGCATAAAATTATCATCATCTAGAGAGTTAATGTCTTTATGATATGTATCCACACAAAATAACATTCATCCATAAATGGTAATCACAATTTGAAATGGCAAAATACTACTTTTGGTCCCCAAATTATATTTTATCAAGTTATATATCTGTAGAAAAATCTCCCGGAGGGCTTACATGAATTAAACAATATAAGGACCTCCCTTTTATTTAAGTATGATCATATAGAAAGCAGCTAGCAGTAACGTGAACACTGTTGACACAGGTTAACAGTCTTTATTAACAACTATATTTTGACATTTAAAACTTCGATTTTAAACCACCCTGAAAAATTAAATACTTAGTTTCGTTAATTTGTTATCTATGATAATATATTTGCTTTACAGGACTAAGATTTCCTTTGGGTTGTCGGAAAGACATTTGCTAAAGGACTCTTTATTACTCCAGTGAACTTTCATTGTTGAAGTCTTTTTTCCATCACCATCTTGTAATTCATTGTGCATTTTGAATCGTGTTTAAAATTTATCTTAATTTGATGTTTGTCAGACTTATTGATTTGAAGCTTTCGCTATGAACTGACATCAATTAAATAACTATCTGTAAATAAGTGAGCTATGTTTCATCTTTCAATTTGATCTCTCATCACTACATAGTTGATACAAGGTGTTCCTAGTGGGATGTGATAGCCATAAACTCATTCCAGAAAAATAATCACAACCCCATGGACAGGGAAGTTTTGCCGTATCGTGTAGTTACCAGTAGTTTACCAGCTAATGTAAGTTTGCAGACAGAAAACATCAGACATCCTCATTCTATCTGTATGTCACGTAATACCAAGTATTACAATATTTCATAGGACTTTTGTAAACGTAAGAAAACATGTCACTATTTTATGAATGCTAGTAATATTATAGAGCTTCCCGTTTTTCCGATTCAAATTAATATCCATAGACTAAATTTGAATGTTTGTTATTTATTATACAGGTACTGTGTGACAGACATGGAAATGCAATTTATCTTAATGAACGGGAATGCTCTATTCAAAGACGCAATCAGAAAGTCATTGAGGAAGCACCTAGCACATTTTTGGACCCAACTTCGCGTAAAGCAATGGGTGAACAAGCTGTCTCGTTAGCCAAAGCAGTTGGTTATGATTCTGCAGGTGATAAATATATACATGTATATTTCATGAAGTCATAACTGTTGTTTATCTTTAAGTTAATTGTGTTTGCAATCTTTTTAAATGATTGTTCTTAATATCATCGCATTACTTTCTCCATGTTTACTATTTTTGTCGTGAAATAAAAATGACCGATTTCAATAGCGAATGAAATTTATTGTCAGATACGGGAAAATATATTCTCCGCAAAGTGTGTATTTCTACATATAACTACCAAGTGTTAATCTAGTAGTTATGTTAAAGCCTTCCTATTGTAGATGCATAATTTGATAACTCTAGGCCAATAATTTAATGGGCTTTTTTTCGATAATAAGTTACTTTTCTTCATCCCTTTTATTTTTAACATGAAATGGGAATTTTATTTATTAGTTCTGAAGGACTGAATAATCAAACAGGATTTTGCTATTAAAATGACGTTTGCGTAAGCTATCAACTCTTGAGGATGAACATACGTCACTTATTGCATATTATTATTATATTTCTGTTTGTTAACTCCGCAAGAATGGTAGGGGCCTGTGCATGTGCTCACTTATGGCAAACCGTTAAACATAGTGGAAGATTTTATGTGTATTTGAGTAGCTATATGGGTGCTAGTTTCGGGATGGCAACTGAGACCAATCTACTCATAATGAAAGAAAGAGCAGCTTAAGCTAATCTTGCTATGTTTGGCGCCGTCACGATTGTCTAGCTGTAGAAAATTGGACTTTTTCGTCGGTGAGGGCGATTTCTCGCTGTTTGTGATACCTGTTCCGTTCAAGCTGTAGAGGTTTGAGGACTATTTTCTACCATGGTTATCTTGGAAGGACATGACATGACAACCCCATGTTAGTGATAGTGAGGTTAAAAATGTTTGTACAAGCACAGTCGAAATTCAATTGGTCTCATCATCTTAAAACACTATTTTCGGTGGCTTGGTCATATTTTATGAATGCCATCTAAGCGGAATCCGAATCGTGGATCATTTCCAGATGCTAGGACTATGTATTACAAGTGTAAAAGTGATTACTTTACGATAGGGTCATAGTATGGGAGATATTTGTATGGGACGGCTATCACGCATATGCAGTTGGTGTCCTAGAGATTGTGTGACTTAGTGGCTTGTGGCGTAATCAGAAATGATTAATAGTAGGAACAAGTGACGGTCGTACTATAGTTTTCTACACCTCATTAAAGTGAGGTGTATTTTTAACCAAAATGTGACTCATAGTCAGAACTTTTTCTGTTCATTTCCTTATTGATTTTACTGCCATTCTCTCCTGTATTTCTTCCAAATACTGCCGCTCTATTTGTGTGGTGCATTTTTTTCTTGCCTACTTCACTCGGATCTGTGTACATTAACTAACCTCTACCTCTGTACAGAATTACTAAACGGATCGTTAATCTCTCTAACTCTATGTCACTACTTTTAGATGTCCAGAAAATCTGACTTCTTAGTTTTCTCAAATACAAAAATCATACGAATATTATTGTGATGATGTTCGAATAACATTAGCAACTGATTAAATGATTGTCATCACTGACTAAAGAGCCAAGATGTTGATGCCCTTATGAAGTAGCGTTATAGCCCATGTTTCCCACTTTTTTGAAACTTTCTACTAAGAAAGTTTGCAGAAGACTATTTGTTGAAACATTATTGACCCATTTAACTTGTAACAAACCAAATTTAAGGTTCACAGTTGTGGGAATAAAATAAATATTCTGTTCAGGGTTAGGATTTTCTATATATGCAAAGTGTTTATTTCATGTATTTTATGTTTCTATAATGCGAAATTTTTTAGGAACTGTTGAGTTTTTGGTTGATTCCAAGCGTAATTTCTATTTTCTTGAGATGAACACTCGACTTCAAGTAGAGCATCCAATCACTGAGTGCATAACTGGTGTTGATGTTGTACATCAAATGCTTCGAGTCGGTAAAGGGCATCCGTTAATGCTATCTCAGGTGAGATTTATGCAGTTTTAGGTGTAATCTAACCTTACAAAAATTATCTCTGCTTTTGCTGTTGTTACTATGCTTTAAAGTAATAATTCGCTTGTTTGATTTTCTACTCTGGTTACTATCAAATGCATACAGTTGGAACATAACGCCAAAAGTAAGTAACCAAAAGGATAAATCTAAAAAGTAAGACGCAAATAGCCTTAGTGTTACTTGGAGAATTTCAGATTTTAAATTGAGACTAAAATGAAGTAATTTTTTTCATTTATTGGCTAAGTAGCAATTTTTCGTATAGTTTGGCACTTTGTTTCAATAATTGGTTAAATATGAGTGTCAAAAAGGCACAATATATCGTTCGTAGTTTTTAGATACTGGATTTGAACTACACCGGATAGTATTCGCGTGACTTATATGACCAATTAGAAGTAGAAAATCAATGATGAATAAGTATAGTCAGTTTAAAACTGTGATCTTTACACACAACCAAAGTGGAGAAGATTTGTAGCTCAGGTGGATGATTTTGATAGTTTTTTTTCTTTGAGCTGGATGGTTTAGTCGTGGAGCTTTCATCGTTCTTCTGAACGACATCATTGGCACAAACATCAGGTTGAAGTAGTATAACTTTCAACTAGTTTTATTTTTACGCACTACATTAAAAAATATCGTTATCTTTATTATTCCATATTATTCCGATCGATCTTTATGTTTTCAAATAACCTCAGCGAAAGTAATTTATATTATCCTACTTAGAATGAAGTATACTAAATTATTTGTAATTTGGAATATCATCTTAATCTCTTGAATGATCATGTTTTAGTGACTCAGTATCTGACTCCAATTAGATCGTATGAATGACTGTTATGGAGTGATCGTTTTCGAAATATATATGCCATCAATCCTCATATATAATCACGAACATTAATCGCGTTAGTGTATAACGGAATTTAATAAGCCGAATACGAGAATGAATTTCGAACCCGTATATTTTGTATAATCACTGATCCAGGCTGATGATCAAAGGAACGAAGCGAAACGAGATGATACGCCGCGATGAAGGCATGTGAATCAACTCGATTTAATCAAGCGTTAATCGATATTTATAGTCACACAAAAATAAGTTACATGTGATGTGTAGGATACGAAATGTACGCACATACGCTCATATAAAAACAATAAAGGTTGTTAAGCTAATAATTGGCAAGGTCAAAATGTGATTTAAGAAGAGTGAATAAATGGGTTGGTCTGGAGACCAGAATAAGCTACGTGGGCTTAACATAGCAATCGACAGTGCAATGTTTACAAATTAGACAATTCTTCTACCATATCATTATTCATTGTTGCAAGGCTTAGTGGCAGTAAATTTAATTTTACTACTTTGCCCGTGTATTTGATTTGGAACAAGGAATTCAAAGTATTGATGGGCCTTTTCTAGACACAGCACAAAATTATATACATATTTTGCAAGTTAATGAGACTAATTTATGGCATGTCTAATATGGTTATTTTTGTATTATTGTATGGGTTTATACATCTCTAGACCAATTAAAATTAACTAAAAGTTCATGAATATCAGGAATATGTAGTGAAATATGTGATCTATTTGTCTAAAAGGTAGATCTCGATAATGCAATGTGAAAACGAAGTTTATCAGAATTATGTGATATATTTCCGCAATACATTTCGGACATTCTGATCTGCAATTTAACGTGGGTTAACACACACTAAAATGTCTGCAAAAACAAATGAATTCCAATGGTCAAATAAGATCACACGATAGACAGACATCTTCCTTTATTGCGAAATATTTAGTTGAGACTGGTCATAAGGTTGACATCAAGTCAGCATTTGTACTGTTGTACAAAAGCCTTCAAGGACATATACCAAGGTTTATTGAAGCCTTGGCTATATTGAAACTGAAACCCTCTTTATGTGTTCAAAAACAATTTGTCCTTACCCTTAACCTACCCTGGTAATACTGATTTATTGTCCAGAGTGGTTATCATATTGTTTTTGTGTGCTTTATTCTTTTTCTTTGTTACGGCTTACCTTTAACCTGTCTAGCTGACCTTTTGATTTTCATATATAAATGTCTTAACAAGTCTATATGTGGTCAGATTGTTCGAAATGTATTGCGCAAATATATCTCATAATTCTGATAAACTTCGTCTTTTCATTGTTTTATCGAAATTTATCAAAGGGACTAATTGTTTTAAAAGGTAAAGATTTGAAACAACTATTTAAAAAAAGAATTAAACGTTCAGTCCCTTCTGAATCTCCTTTATTGTTTCTTTGTTCTAAAACATCACCAAATCTGAGACTCCTTTATTTTTTGCGAAAACAAACCTGCTTAAAATTGAATTTCAGTTATATGGAATATCAACCTTTTATTCTATTTATCTATTGAAATTACAGATATTATCCTGTCTTTATATTACTTTAAGATATGAATGGTAATTGTTACTATAATGGTTTTAATCTAGTTAAAGACTAATTTAGTGAAATAATATTTTGTAATTAGACGATACTTTATTGGAATTTTTTTATCAACCATCTAATTTGCTTATTTCTCTTGTCTTACAATTTTTCTAAAGTTACATCTTTAGTTTCTGTTAAAAATTTTACTCACTAATCAAATATAGATATGTGTTAAGAAATTGTCTTTAAATACGGAATTCGTTCTTTCACTTTATTTAATGTGTAGATACATTCAGCAGAAACATCTTAGATCATCAGGCATTAATCTAATTATGAATATGAGTTTAAAATAACGGTCATGTTTTGTTTGTACCTTCCGAGTTCTAATAAGTCCATACTTATTGCTTTGATTTGTATTATTATTAGAGTATTTCTGTTGAAGTATATATCTTACTCGTTTTTTCTCTTATGTATCCTTCAGTCTACTAAATAATCCATTTTAATGCATTGTATAGTCCTTTTAAATTTTCATTTTAACTAGTCTGATATACCCGTGAATGGATGGGCTTTTGAGTGTCGTGTATATGCTGAAGATCCATACAAAGCGTTTGGTTTACCATCGATCGGGCGTTTACGTACTTACAGTGAACCTTTGCACATACCTAATGTCCGCTGTGATAGTGGAATCAATGAAGGATCGGAGATCTCTATATACTATGATCCTATGATCTGTAAACTTGTTACATATGGACCAGATCGTCAAACTGCCCTAAACACTATGGCCAAAGCTTTGGACAGTTATGTTATTCGTGGTGTGACTCATAACATTCCTTTGCTTCGTGATATTGTCACCGAGAAACGTTTTGTATCTGGGAATATTTCGACAAAGTATCTATCTGAAGTGTATCCTGATGGATTCAAAGGTTCATTTTATTCTAAACATTTAGCGGTTGTTTTATAAACAGATGTAATCGCATATTGTCTTTCAGGTGGTTATTATAGTCTTGTTAATGTTAAGATTTCAAGTATATGTACCTCGATATCATGTTAAGTACATATTTAGTTTGTGAAGATCCCCTTTATCACAAACATCACATACAGTAATGTGTCTGGGAGCTGCCTGCTGTCTTGATCAGTACTCAAGTTATAAATAAAATTTGACTCTTTAACACAGCGTTAACAAATTTTTTGTTATTCCTAATCTCGATGTATATTGATCAACTGTTTTTTACCTTCCCACTTTAATGTTTCCTTAATATCGAAGATTTATGGAGATTGTTTTCTTTGGAAATAATTTACACCATAGGTTGAATATAGTGAGGGAATTTCTAAAATTCATTAGAGAGCTGTTTCGTCATACTATGAGACTTTTAGATAGTGTGCACCAGGGACCTAAACTAAGGCCTTCAAATTTAGTGAGGAGTGCAATATCTTTGAGCCACTAAGTTTGGATTCAGTGGTTCTCATTTCCGACTTTAGTTGATTTTCAATATTTCGCGAGGACGATTCATTGTCGCCAGTCATGCTTGCCTAACACTTGACTTAACTGAATCTTATCGGTTACAGTTTCCCACAAGAACTTTCCTATTTAGCTACACTTTCTGACTAAGTAGAATTTTCACATTCATTCTCTGCCAATGGAATTTATTAGATCGTTTGATGATATATAGAAGAGATAGATTGTGGCTAGTGGCGGAATCTAAGATGCGTGACTCGTCACTGGATACATCTGCATCCCAATATTGATGTTCACTCTGGGTTCGGTCATAATTTGCTATACAGAGACTCGTAACTACATAATCTTGGTTGATTAATATCTTGTGAATCCCCTCATTTTTAATTATAGAACTGTATTTAAAGCTTAAATAGTCGTTCATGCTCCTTTTGTTATATAGGTTGTCAGTTTCTTATAATTAGATTAAGCTTTTTTTATCGATGATTGGTTATCAGATTTATTTGTAGCCTTAAATGAGGTATTTCAAATTAGATATTTTTGTGAATCTTACTTTTGGTCTTTAGGCAAAGTACTTGATCAAAAAGAACTAGGTACATTAATTTCTGTTTCTGCATCTATATTTGCTAAGAATGATGCACGCATTCGAAACTGTTCTGGGTAAGTTGTCGCACAATAAAATTTTATTTCATAATCAAAAGGATTAATTCATTATTGAATTCTTTTCGTTGTTTTGTTAGAGAAATTAGTCCTGGATAGATAGATACTAGCTCGACACAATAATACGAATTTTGTTAGTGCATGTTAATTTGATTTCTAGTTTACTTAACGGAGTGACTTCAGATAGACAACTATTAAGAACCTTAGAAGTACTGGATATTTGTTCTGTCCCAGTTATGGGATTCCTCAGTAGTACAGATTCACGACCATATAAGGAGTCGAACACAGAATGTTCAAAATTTGTGTTTTTAACCTTTAAAAATTTCTAACATTATCCCATTCTCAATGTTGTGCAGAAACTTATATAGATATTTTTCTGTTTTTTCTTGTCACTTGAAGGGCAGATGAACATTTATATCACACTAATTAGGCTTACGCCACCGTGTATCAGTTTAAGAAGAAATTGTTATGATCAGTGGAACAAATGGTTTTCTTAAATGATGTTTATTAAATTCAGCAATTATTGTAGACATTCTTGTAAAGGTATTGAGTGATGCTTCGGACTTCGGGACTTGATTTATCATCGAAATGTTCTTTATATGAGTATACAAATGAGATCTATCTTATAACAATAAAAATTCAGTTTACCTAGAATTCGAAGCTAAGATTTATAAACAATGAAAAATTTTCTTGTAAGTTAGGTCGTATAGGCTTCTTTACAGCGTTGCTTAATTTTAGTATTAATAATAAATCAAGTTTGTAGAAACCTTGTTGTTGTTGTCAGAATGTGAGATTATCTCCAATGTTACGTAAAAATCAGGTACGATTGATTTTCGAAATTGATAATACGTTAGACTTCCCTTATCAACTAACATTGAACAGAAATTTCATGCTCAATCTCCGAGAATTGAATACATTTTGCTATCTTTCTAACTTTTTTACAAGATTTAATGTTCTTTGAAAAAATGTCAAACCAGCAAGTATTTTATCGAATGGTAAATGTTTGGTTGTACGTTGTATGTCACATCAGTTAATTTAGAATTTTCTTACAAATATTCATAAATTTCGCTATTAGACGACTGATTTTCACTTTTTTTTATCTCTCCCCAATGAACTAGGGAGTCACAATGGGATTTAGTTGCATCTGTCCATGAAAACAGTGTTAATAGCGATCCTAAAAGTCGTTCGTATATTCGCTGCATTGTAACACGTGACTGCTCAGGTTTTCAAGTTCGCATGTCATCGTGGGAGCCTCCCAAGCATATTAACCAACAGGACGCATATGCTACTTCTCAATCCTCCAAGTCGCAAGAAACAGTTGTTAGAGTAGCTGATAATTTTAAATTGTCTGATAAAATTATAAACCATTCATATGACGGCAATGAAGCAAGTTGATAAGTTTGCTTTTCTCTTGATTCATGTACAACATTTTTCATTACTTGGATTGCAACAACTTATCAATTACTATATATCTCTCTGAATATTCTTAGCAAGAATTTTGAAGTGTACATCAAAATTATTAATATAGTCTTCAAGAACTTTCGTCTAAATTTGAACGAATAATTTCTCAGTATTTGGACACCGAGTTAATGTAAAACATTCAGAAGGGAGAATACATCTGTAAAATCTCAACGATTGAATTTTAAGTAAATCTAATGTTTCGCTCGGCAATCCAGTTCAAGCTCTATCCAGGAAATATAACCAGACATCAAAATTATCGAATATAAATAGGTTCATGGTTCTCCGGTTAACTGTATACTAAATAGGTCATCTAGTCATCTTAACAATGTTTGAACTAAATATTTACTGTAGTGCGTACGAGACATGTGGTGTTTTACGAAAAGTGTGTTAAGATAACAGATTATGAGTATTCTTAAGTGGATCTGAGGTGTGAGAAGAAATTTAATTGACAGTTTATCGCTTCTGATCGGTGAATTTTCAAAGAATTCATACAAATTTATAGATGATATGAGCCAAACATGTCATAGCATGTATAAAATGAAGATAAATAAACAAAGTAAAAATAAATGTTTGTTCATTTTTGTATTGCTTGTTTGAATCTTCTCATTGATGTTTAGGACTTCAACTGATCAGTCTCTTATTAGCATATGGGCATTCTGTCCGGATTGCCTCGATATTGCCTTAAGTTACAAGCATTATAAACAAAGATGGATGGTGGTTAACAAAGGAATCCAGAGCGTGCATTCCGTCCTATTTGGGACTCGTCAGCTGGATGTACCTTCATCCCAGATTTGATGTTCACTCCGGGACTAAAACCCAGTACCGTTCGCTTCAAGCGTTATGGCGTAACATCTTTGACAGTAGGGTTAAGTCCCTGACGGAGCATAAGTTTTTTAGACTGCTAAGGTCCGTTGATGATGAGTGTCAGATAACACGAAATGTAGTTTCAATACTTCATTCTGATTCCCTCCAGTCATCTTAAGGTAGGATAATATTTACCACAAATGTTTGCATCTACATAGGTCTACTGTCCTTTGAAATATCTTGTGAAATTATTTGGTGAGCAGGAAGAAAGGCGAAATCTTACAAGGAAATTTACGCTTTCTTGTTTTTGTTGAAAATCCTGGTGAATGTGCCGTTTGTTTCAGTCCCTTCAAAACACTTTTCTATGGTTGCCTAGTTGACTTCATTATGAGAGACTTGCAAAGATTATCATTTAGAGTTTATATACTGCGTACTTGATATCATAATAATTCTTTTCAAGTAACCATTCATTCTTTTTTTATTAATGGTGTTTTTTGCGACATCTATTCCAATAAAGTTTGACTTGTGTGATTGCAATTGTTCAAAGTTAAAGTTTTGAGTATTTTTTCCTTACCACCACACAAGCCTCAGCACCCATTGATAGACTAGTAATAATAATACTAAGTTCCCGTAACCTATACTTGAGCGTCAACGTGATGATTATGGTCATCTTCCACATCGAAGTTGAAGGTTTTAATTGATTTAGGTTGTTTCTTAATTGTCTTGTATATGTACGTAGGTTTTCAAAAATTTTATTGTTTTAAGCAAGTTCGATCATGTATTAATGAGAAGAATTCTTTACTACGTAATGGGTTGAACATCCTTTTTTTAGTAAAATAACTTTTCCAACTTAAGCATATATATTAGAGTTTGAACTCATAATTAGGCGGTTAAAATTCAAACGGGTTAACTGATTGGGCACTGGATATACTTAAAAAATTCTTCAGAATTGTTCATAGCTGCTTGAATTTATGATAAAATATTCTATTCATAAGAGTTTCATCCTTCTTTTGTTTGCAAAATTATTTCCTAATAATTTGTTTAGGTGACTTTGCAGTTACTCGACAAAAGTATCAATACTGTTTGCTTACAATATCTTGGTACTGCATTTCCCATAGAAATTATGAACACAACGGCAGCATGGTTTCGTGCCGCTTATATGCCTCCCCCCCGTGTTATCGACTATGGTTCAATTTGTATTGCTCCTATGCCTGGCTTGGTTCGTTCCGTTGCAGTTAAGTTAGGTGATCGAGTGAGCGAAGGTCAAGAACTATGTGTATTAGAAGCCATGAAGATGCAGAACAGCATGACAGCATCGAGATCGGGAGTTGTAAGTTTTATTATCTCGGAATTTTGTACGTGAATATGTCTACATCATATATTATGTGTAGTGCTAACTGAACATTGGAACACTATGACGATAATAATAATAACAATGGAAACACTAGTTGTTTTTCTAATTAATTGCGATTCTGTACTACTGTAACATGCAATTCTATCTTTTTAACAGTGTTCAGATTTTTTATTTAGATTTATGCTCAGAATAATGAACTGATACTATTCAAAAATTCTGGAAGCCTATTTTGTAAGTTTGTGTGTGACACACGACTTAGGCTTCAGATGGTACTTTTATTCTGTGTGGTCAGATGAATACTGAGAAATTCTTCTGTTTCCTTAAATACAAGTTTAAATTATGGCAACTAGGGCTAGAAAATAGCAGGACACTAAATGTGTTGCACTGTCCATGTTCATTCAGTATGACTGCTGTTAATGGGACACTGGATGGTTTAGTCCACGAGTCGTTTAAGTGAAATGAGTTTTTTTTAGGATGTCGCAAACTTAAACAGAATAAGATATCAAATATTCACTACATATGTTAAGTCAGTGGCTACGTGGAAAGGTGTGATGATGGTGTTGGGTATAGTTAAACTAAGATAAAATAAATTTTTGATCGTTCAAATAAAAATGTGGTAATGATGTTCAAAATCACTAAATCCTGATGTGTTTCATTTAAATGGCTAAAGGGTTTCCCGATGATATCACCACAAGAGTAAAATAAATGAGTTGGTTTTTTGGGAAGTTGACTCAAAATTCATTTCACAGGTGTAGATCCAGCTACCCTTTAATAGTTTACGAAAATTGGAGACTATCTATCCATTCTCCGTCTGTCTGTCTTCTCTTACCATTGTTATCTGTTCATCTTTAGCCGCTGTCTTATTAAATATGCAAGCTATCAAACTTTTACACCAAATTCTTCACTTACTAGTAACTTATGATATATTTTATAAGTTATCGCTTCTGGAAAATCATCAGTTAAGATATTGTGATGCGGCTTTCAGGAGATTTGATAGTAAGCAAAGTGATTTCAGTTGCTTTTAAATGTATAAGGGCAACTGTCACTTCTCAGTTGGCCACACTATACAAGGATACTCTTTTCTAAATGATTTGAAAAGGTAACCGGATTACTATTGATTTTAGCAACTTGGGAGAGTAACTATAAAGCTCGCTAATGAATATGTATACTACATATTTACTTTCCTACTTTTTCCTGTTAAGTTTTTCTATTCCTTCATAAAAATTCATTTTTATATTTGTAATTTTTTTCCCTTCAGATTAAAAAAGTAAATTTCAAAGCTGGTGATTCTGTCGGTGAAGGTGATATTTTAATTGAGTTAGAAAAAGAATAAACTGATCAATATTTATGAAACATTTCTACAATAGCTTAATTAATTTTTTCTCTCTTCATTTATTATATTAACCATTATTTATGGTATATTCATTTTGATTTCATTCTATATTTGTTTTGCATATATATTTGTTTCATTGTTTATTCACATATTCTCCTGTTGTGAGTTTTTTTCTTTGTTTGTTTTGTTTATCAACTATTGTCCGTTACCATTATTGATTGTTTCTTAAGAAAAATAAAAATTAAAAAAAAAACACAATATTTTCCTATTAATCAATAATAATTTCCTTTTTGCTTAGTGATATATATTGTTTATGTTGAATAGAGGAGATTTTTGTATATAATATGGTTGTACAACGTTGATCTATTGAAAAGATAAAATTACTAAAAAACAAAGATTGATTTTCTGATGAGAATCTATTTCAGTAGAGAAAAAGGTCTTTCAGTAAATTTGAAATAGGTATTGTATCACAGTAGTAGTTTGTACAGTATACTGTAGTTCAGTGAATAGTTTTTAAGTTGGTGCTTAAACAATGCAAATAGCAGAGGACAATTACCAGTTACCAAGGAGTAAAAATTCTTTATATTATCGTCGTGCAATGCTAACCGGTGTTGGGAATGGTTGGAAGGAAGTTAGAGGCGGTCAAACTAAAACGTGGCATCAGTGCTTGAAGACACTAACTTCTGGTCTTAGTCATGTTGGTGGGTGCAGACTACTTGATTGGGGTCCGCGTGACTATCGTAACCAATGGTTGGAGACTTGGTGAAATGGCTCAGAATCGATCACAATAGCATAGGTGTATACACTATGTCTTCCCCTAAACTATGAGATTAAAATTGCTTCATATCTTTCTTTCTTCCTGTACTATATCCTTATATGCAATCTTTCTTTTATGTATTACCACCATCGAATTGACTACTTCTATGAATCCGGTGTTCATCTTGCTGTGCTAATGCGGTATGAAATCTTGGACCGATGCATGTATGTGCCTGGTCCCACGTTGTAGTTGACTGACTGATGTCAAAGCTCATCAAATTCTAACGACTAGGCGCTGTGATTCATATCTGTCATTTGGGAGATTTAATCGAGAATCTTGGAATTTGGTTTCGGTACTATGAATCAGCACTGAGAAAGCCGTCCAGCGACTTCCGATCTGTTTTCCAAGTTTTCAGTCTCAACATGTATAAATCACGTATAGTGCAATGCATAAAACTCAATATGTCGATATGTAAATTGACATGAAAGCCGTCAATTGAACAAGCGGTTACAAAAATGATTGGTATGATCAAGCTGCAAGAACTTAGTGGTTATGTCCGGTGTAGTATGTAAAGCTCGCCACTCTGAGTTGTAATATCATAAATTCTCAGCCATATGCAACGTAGGATCTGAAGCACATATATACCGGTTTAAGTTTTCACATTTCATTAGCACAATGAGATATAGTCAAGACAAATCCCAGAGAAGTCGAAGTAATAACAATATCAGTAGCTGGATTTGAGATGAGCCATAGAAAGAAAAAAGTGTTTACAACTTTTGGACCTAGAATCTAAAGGAGAACAGAGAATAGATGCACCTGCACCATTATAAACGACTCTGAGTCATAGGTATCAATACCAAGGTTGGACTCGATAGTTTCGAAAAATTGAGCATTGGGTAGAGAATTTTTTTGTATCCCAATAAGTAGAAGAATTGTATTTCTGACGTTCCGTGACTTAATGTAAGCCACTTCTTCAGAGTAAATAACTAATCAAAATTGACAATGTTTCCTTTGTACTATTTAAAGTTGTACTAATTTAGTTTCTATTGTTTGTTTGCCTTGAAGAAGTGCCTTACATTAAGTCACGAAACGTCAGAAATACAATTTTTCTACTCATTGGGATATAACAAAAAATATATGTATTATTGACTCTGAGTCAGACCACACAAATCTCTAACCACTGGTCCTAGTTACCACGATCCACAGCCAGGTGGTTTGCATCTACCGACACGACTAAAAAATAAACTTTTGAGTATATCAAATGAGAAGGATTTCTAAATATCAGTTAGCCACTTCTTCCCTAAAATTGAAGTTAACTAAATTTGAATTCCCTTTTTGTTATTCTTAAAATAATCAATATTGTCCAATAACACGGTTCTAATACTTATTAAATATATAATGGATATTAATTAATATATTAAATGAATGGAACGTACAAACTATGCAAATTCGCTTTTAACTTGTACTGTACTAGAATTGATTTTGGACATTAATGTCAGTCAGTTATCATTAACTTAGACCGTAACACGGATGTATCTTAATCCAAGTTTCCATAATACATTAACACGGTGGGATGAACTTAAGGAAATAAATTACAAACGAGATTGAAGTCATGTGGTAGCGATTATGAAAAAAACTGAACATCAAGAATATGGTTCAAAAAGAGTGGAAGGGTATGTTGAAAGAAATACTGGGATTTTTAGAATCAAGAGGATTAAAAGTATGTGAATCTGCACCATTACGAACGATCTCTAGCTACGTCACTCAGAGTCTCCAACCGTTCGTTGGAATTATCACAGTGACCACAACCAGATAGTCTGTGTTTATCCTTGTAGCTCCGACCAACAGTCAATGGCTTCATGGCCCGAAGCCACGTTTTGGTTTGGTCATCCTTAGCATTTCAATAACCCAATCCGACACCAGATAATATCACCCGTTCATATGGGCTATGATTTAGCGTACATAATACATGTTCCAATCGTCTCGGTTGACGATGATTTTCAAACCTATCAACCGATTTCCTACCTTTGCATTGCACCATATACCTAACTACGGTAGTCTCAAAGTACGTGGGCAGTGCTTCGAAGACACCTATGGTTGAGTTCTAGTAGTTTAAGTATATTTTCTATCTTTAGTGGTTGTTCTTCACACTCATAAAGTAGAATTGTTGATCAGCAAACTCATCCTTTGATTGGGAGACGAACATCTCGCCTAAGTTACAAGTAACGCGATCCGGCCAAGGGCAATCGAGCTTTCTGAATCCCTGTCGATATCTCGTCAATCACATACTCATCAGGACTGATGAGACTACCGAGATAAGTGATATGGTGATGACATTTAACCGCTTCACTCCTTAACAGATAATGAGTTAAGCTTTAAAGCTTTTGGAATTTCACAGAAAAGATGAACTGACAGTTATGATTGATCACTTATTTAATTAAGTTGGTACCCCCCCCATTAAGTCCTGATAGTAACAACAATTATAGATCCTACAGTCTAGTTAATATTCAGGTTCCATAAAAAATTTAGTTGTTAATTATTTCAGGAAATATGAACTTAGTTTTCAAAAATACTAATATCATTTTAGTTCAATTGAAACGTAGAGAACTACTACAACCATCATCAAGAATATACAAGTATTTATAAATAGATGTCTACGCAAGATATCCAATATCCATTGACCGGATACTATCAGCAACAGCCTTTTGTAGGAGAGAACAAACCAGCTTGCGACTGAGGAGGAATCCACGAAAAGACGATGGAAATGGATAGGTGATACAATACGGAAATCACCAGACCGCATCACGAGTCAAACCCTAACTTGGAATCCTGAACGGGAGCGGAGAGGAGGTCCAAAGAACATATTACATCGGGAAATGGAGTCAGATATGAAAAGGATGAATAACAATTGGAAAGAGGTGGAAAAGATTTCCCAGGTCAGGGTTTGGTGGAGAGTGACAGTGGGCGCCTACAGTCCTCCACGAGGAGTAACAGGAGTGAGTAAGTATATTTGAATTTCAGTCCATCATTTTTGACATATATATAAAATAACTGATATTACATTCAATCTCAAATGTAATTAAGATGTTAAACTTAATTTATTTTTAATTACTTCTGTGAATAAATAACATAATAAGAAGCTACATTATAATTGTCACTATTATTTAGTTAATTAGTTTTATAAAATGAACGATTAATTAATGAAAAGTTAACTAGAGTTTTGCATCCGCAACATCAGTGCGCATCCATGATCCCACCTTGCGAGATTCGAACCCAGAACCTATCAGTGCTTAACCTCTAGACCACTGAGCCGGCATCCAAAGATGTTAATGTCCAATTTCAACTAATCCACGAAATTGAGCGAAAGAAGTCAAAATTTTGTTGGGTATTTCTATGTTGTTAGCTTTGATACTTGTAGATTATGTTCTGAGTATAAAAATGTGAAATATATAATGTTATATCTAATGATATTCGAAATTCGTTTTAATATAAGTTAAAAACCGAATTTGCATAATTTGTACGTTCCAATTATTTGATATATTAATTAGTATCAATTGTACATTTAGAAAGTATTAGGACTGTGTTATTGGACAATATTGATTATTTTAACAGTAACAAAAAGGGAATTCAACGTTAGTTACCTTTAATTTTTTTATTGTTAAAACAGAACTGTAATTTATCGACTGGTTCAGTAATGCACTGATTTGGGTTAATGATTATCATAATAAAATGTAGAAGTAGGGCTAGTAAACGAATTTGCTAAATAGCAGCTACAAAAACTAAGTGATAAGATATGACGTTTTTGTAGTAAAATGTTGAGTAAATATACATGTATTACTGGCGATTTATTCGAATGAATTAAAATATCTTCTTGCAGCCATATTAAACCTTCACATCAGTACTTATATCTGATGAAGGTTAAGTAGTTTCAGTGTTTCTTTTAAACATAATATCATAAGGCCTGGATGATGAAAACAGAACTATAAGAATAAAGTTATCTTTCTCTGCTTCCGTCTAGAATTTTGTTGATCCTAATAATAATATAAAAATGTGCACATTCAGTACAACTATACACTGCCCATATTTGCGGTAATTTATTGTGTACGATTTACATGATCATACAACCTTTTTTAAAATTGGTACTTTATCTCTTTCAAAATTTAGTTTAACTCAGTGGATTTTGTGCTATCATTGGAAGCGACAGTCAAATCGAAATTCGCAAGGATTTAGTTCAGAGAAGGAAAAGCTAAAATGTGTAGAATTAATTCACCGAGCAAAACTATATACGGCAATTTAAGCTGTTTTTAGTAATATGATACTGCTTGTTTATATAATACACTTTTTAGTCGGAAACAGAGTTAAGACCTCACAAGCATATGAATGCAATTTTGCAATTCGCATAACAGATGAACCTTCTTCGTATGATTAAGTTTAGTTTTTTATTGACTCCCCACTTTATGTAAATTGAAAGAACTTTCAGGAGTTTTCAGTCATGCTATTTCTGTAATTGTATACTTTAAATTACTTTTATCAGAAGTATGCTTTATCACATCCAAATTTTTTCATAATAACACGTAGCCACAATTAATGTTAATGATGTGATTCTGTGTTCTTCTGACAAGTACATC